AGAGAACAGGCAGTGATTAGTCGATGAGTGCATATCTTTAGGAAAAAACAATTTACTTTTAATTTGATGCCAAATATTAACGATTATTTTTGGCAAAACAAAGAAAAAATCGTTGGTTTAGAAAGCGATCAAATTATAGCTCATATTTTCTAATTTTTACAACAAAAAAAATTATTAGATTTGAGTTAAATTGAAAGTTTGATTTGGAAAGTGTTTTCTTAAATAAGATATTATTTTGATATCAACTGGAATTGAAACAAATGAATACCTTCTCTAAGAGTGACCATATAATAGGACTCCTTTCCGGGTTGACTCGTGCCGATGGAGTTGACGGCCAAAATGCGAAATGAATATACGGTAAAGGGTTGTAATTTATCGACATAATAGTTGGTCTTATTGTCGAGAGTGGCGATACCATTATATGTATCCCATTCACCATTTTCACCCACACTAAACATCAATAACAGACAACATATAAATTAGATTTCAAATGTCATAAAATTGTATCAAAAAATATAAATCTTTAAAAAAGATTACAATCAATAAATCGATTAAAAATTGATAGATAAATGTGTATTAGTGTACAGACCGGGTGTGGATGATATAGTTAACAACTGGCGAGTGGTGAGTGTCAAAACTGGGTGCCCATGATAAGTTGACAGAACGTGATGTAAAGCCCATTAACAGTGGCTTTCCAGGAGGATCGGGAACATCTGAAATGATCATAATTTGCATATTTTAATTCACATTTGTATCAAGAAATTTATAGTTTTAATTATTTTTATTTATTTCTTATTTTACACGTAATGTTCGGTTAATAGAGTACAGAGAAGTGCGGTTTGTCTCCACAATAATGTCATTAATAAAAAGTAATGCAAAATAATAGCATTTCATTAACACTACAATCAAAAGCCACTACAATATGGTTATAATGAAAATAATGCAAAATCGATATACAATAATGTATGGCTCATAACGAGTCGTACCATTAAAAACAAATCAGTTATTATATTGACTTTTGCCTTACATTTTTGTTATATACTAAATTGAATGCCTTTCATAACATGCACTGCATTTGATTTGAATAACAATATTGTAATATATGTTCAGTGATCGGAGAAGTTATTATTTTAAAGCATTTTTCATACTTTAATAATTCATAGCGTGAATCCTCTCTCCAATCGCCTCATCCAACAGAGCCTTTAATAAGATTTTTTCAAATATTTGCACATAATTT